CCTCCTCTCAGCCCTGTGGATTCTGCAGTGGGAAATTCTTGGAAAGTTCTTTCGGACAGCTACTGCCCATTTCTTTTCTTGGACCTTTGTTCAGATTTGGTTCCTTGGAATTTAGCAGGCTTCTCAATTATGTTCATACTCAGCCTTTCGTCCCTGTCCAAGCAGCTTTTCCAGACGTGGAAAAGGTATTTGCTTTTCCTCAAGCCTTGCATAATGTCACTTGTCTGTCGACCAACTTCAGGTCAGGCACTAAGTACAAACAACCAGTTCCATTGCACTGTGCTCCCCTGCAGCCCCCAACATCTGTTCTCAGATTTCTGTATTAAATTTCAGTATTTTTTGGCTGAGGGTGTTGCTCAGTGGCTGAGAGTGTTACTCTAAATATGTGTAAGTCCCTGGGTTTGGTCCCCAGTACTGCTACATCAATAAAAAACTTTAATACAGTCCCCAGGACTGCCCATTATTACAGAACGTGCAATTTTCCTCCTTGCAGATTGGAAACCTGAAATACAAGGTGCTAAGTGAATTGCTCAGAAATAACAATCATTCTAGCCCCAAGAGTTGTACTCGGCTAACAGCTATCTACATACGAGCTGTGACACACAGAGCAGAGGTGACTTCTGAGGACGAATTTCCAGGCTGAATTTATTTGTCCCATTAAGACTTTTAATCCCGTCTAGAAGCTGTCAATATTTGCTGACAATAACTGCTTGATTTTGGTGGTGAGCCCTCTATGCCCTTTTAGGTCCTGAAGTATTTCTGCACAAGTTATTAGCTTCAAATGCTTTTCCAATAGGCCACACACTGGCAACGACAATAAAAACAATTTTGGAAGAAAATCACACAAGCAAACTCTTCTGGAGGTCTTGAATCAGGACCAGAAAGACAGCATGTCAGCCACACTCCTTCCCACCCTGGCACTGCGGAGAGTTTTTCATGACCTGGGGAGACTCCTTGGAACCTGGGACATGAGATACCGAGAATTACCCAGTAATGCAGTGCGAGATGGTTTCATAGAGGCATGGGAAATTGTGCTCTGATCCCATATTGGATGACTCGCTGTGGTTAATGAAGGTCAAGGCAAAAATGTACATAAAGGATAAAGGTTCTATCATGTGGTTTGCTCTTTAGTTGAAAGCAGACATAAATCCTAATTTAATAGTAGGTCTTTCCATTGCAGCTTGAAATTCTGCCTGGCTTGAAATATATTAGTTTTATTATTGTTTTTTCTTTCTTTTCTATTCTACAGGATCTTAGTTTCACCTCCACAACTTTTTCTTGTTACTGAGACTTAATCACATTTCGTAGTCTCGAATATAATTTGTGTTAAAAAAAATATGAACTCACAGTCTATGACTTTAGGATCTAAAGGAAATTCTCAAATAAAGAAATACTCCTGGGTGACAAAAGTGTGTCTGTGGCTAACACTAACGGCCTTTCTGGTCCTCACCATCTTGCTCAATGCACACAGGAAAGATGCCTTTGGGACAGGGCCACTTTCCTTCCCCGGCTTCCCCTGCCCTGGGGTCACTCGGAGCCTTGCTTTAGAGTGAGTCTTCTTCATTACAGAGGATTAACTACCAAATGAAAATCATTTCCTTGGGTTTCTTCTTTTTTAAATGTTCTGGTGAACAGCAGCTTAATTTGGAAGCAGACTATCCTCCCATCATCCCAAATCCGAAGTGGAAAAGGGAAACACAGGCCCCGATACATATAAATTAGGTCGTCAAGACGTTCCCTGGCATTAAACAGCTTCCAAGCTGTACAAGATAACAGAAGTTTTGAATTTTATTTTCAACATAAAAAAAACCCCACAGGCCAGTCTGAAGCAGTGAGCTCTTTCTCAAGGCCCTTGGATGCCTGTACTTGGGAGGCAGAACTGCACTGTGATGCAGTTTCTGTCACAAGCTGTGCAAACTGGAGTCCTTTCTGTCTGTACAGTTGACTTAAGCAGGCAGAGGGCGGCTGTTTCCTTTGTGTGGACTTTCATGGCCTAAGAATAGTGAAGAATCCCTTTCTCTACAGAATATTCTATAGGAGAAACAAAAGGATCGCATACCTGTTCACTAATTTATTTTCTGAAGTGTGCTGCTGCTTCTAAGGGAAGACTTCAAGCCCCTGTAATCTCAGGTGTGGAAAGTCAAGACTCTGAACCTGGAAGAAGTTTGTTGTTTTGTTTTGAAGATTAAAGGTGACATAAACTACCCCATACACTTAAAGTAAATGAGAGCGATTACCAAGCTTTGTTGGCCATAATGGTGAAATTAGTCAATTCAAGTGCTATTCCACGCTGACAACTTAGCGTTAGGTCATTGTCATTAAGTGGCAGAGGTGAAGGTAAGGAGGACAGTCCCTATTTGCCGTGCCCTGCAGACACCAAGAAGTCACCATGCTGAGCTGAAGGGATGGCCTGAAAAGGAGCCATCATCTCTGACTTTTCAGCTGACACTGGATATCAGACAACATGTCAAGCAGGCTTGATAAATGACTCATCAAGACACGGCCCCTCTTAAAATAAGAAGCAACTTAAATTGGAGCTTTAGTGAAGTCCTTTGATGTCTGCTGACTCCTGCTTTCCCCACGGTCAAAGGACAAGGAGCCTGGCAAGCAGAGCGGAGTCACCCGGTGACACACAGACAAGCCCCGTGGAAGCAGGGCTGTGGGACGGAAACTCCACCCGGGGCCAAGGGGACTGCAACATCCCTGGCCAATAACTCGAGTTCCCAAAGACGGCTGCAAGTGACAAGACTTCCTCATGGCTCCCGGAGCTTGGTTCTCAGAGTTGCTTTACAGGCAGAGCTGGGCCCCTCCTGCTCGGTCACTCCAACTTGGATACTATCCTGCTCAGAATGCACTTTTAGTAGAAACCTATTTCTGTGTTACTTCCCCCAATGGGCAAGTTTATGAGGTTCGGATAAAGTATCGACCGTATTTAGCCACCAAACGAGAGCAAGCAGCATCTCTGAGCAGCTCAGCCACTGCCTTGCAGAGCCCAGAACTCGCAGACAGAATGGATGCACTCTGCAGCTGCCTTCTGTGTAGGCCCTGGTAAGCAGCACGGTCCGACTCTAGAAGACTCTAGGTGTTCTTTATGCTGGGCTCTCCCTTTATCCAACTAATCAGAGAGTAGAAAACACTCAGTAAAAGGTGAAAATAGAATCTGTTTCTTTTCCTCAAAGAACCAACTTCTTCTCATTCACAATCTATCTTCAGGTATGCAAAGTCCTTTTCTTTGTTGACTACAGAATTTCCTTTTCGTTCCTTAAAGCTCGTTTTCTAGGGAAACGTGACTCTGGTGGTCCTGAGGGCACCAGGCTTGTGCCTCTGTCACCTGCTGGGGCCATCAGACAAAGGGGCTTCTGCTGTGCACCTGCCCCACCCAGATGCCAAAATAAAAGCCTGGGCCTGGCAAGTCCTTCTCGCTGGTCTCAGGAATACAAAGCAACCCACTTTACACAAGAGGAGAAAAGGCAGGAGGAAAACCAGTCACACACTACGTGTTGAGTGAGGTGTGGTCTAAGAGACAGGAAAACAGGGAGGAGGACCTACTTCCCGGAGAAGGACTGAGCAGTGCTTTGACGCCTTCTGCCCATCCCCAAGTGGAGAGCAGTTAGGGACAGAAACCTGGGACCTGTAACACAAATGCTTCCAGCCTGGGTCATAGTGCTACTTAAAAGGTTAGAAGCACAAATTTTGTTGTAAATGTAGCTCGCGGAAATAATTTATATTAAAGCAGGAGAAAGTGTTCAGAAAGAGACAAAACGTACTGAGTAAGCCAACGGAAATGGACTAATGCAGGCAAATGAAAGAAGCTCAGGGCCCCGGGCCCACCTGTCTCACCTGGCCAGATGAGGCCGGGTACCCTGGGCATGCAGAGTGAGTTGTCCCTGCGCAGGGCTGACCTAGGACTTGGGGTGCTTGGGGTGCTCTCAGACGGGAGCAAGCATACCCCTACACATGGAATCAGTAGGCTTAACATCAGTGCTGCCGGGCACAGCACACGGACTGCAACCGACTGTTGTAAAGCACAGTAAATTCCAACAAATGTCCTGCCTCGCAAGGGATAGGGAAGGTGGTAAAGAGCGTCCACTAGAAGGAACCTGACACTGAGTAGGTCTGGGGGGGATTTCACGGGTCAGGCGTGCACCCAGCCATGCAAATGTTTGGCACTTTGCCTATATTACCTGGCCATTTTAGACACTCAACGGATGCTTTCTCAATGAATGGATGAGCGTGTGGGCGCCACTGCCTTGGGTTTACACAGTCTTATTTCATATGAGGTCACAGGTTAGTGCCTACATCATGAATATTGGCTACTGGACTTGGCTGAAGTAGGGATTTGCTAATTGAGGGCTATTCCTATACCAGTAGCCCAGAGGCTGGCATCCCTGCTCGCTTCCTCTCCTGGCAGCAAGCTCTTCCAAGACTCAGAGCCACTCTCCCCCTCATGTTCAGCTCGTTGATCTTTGTCCCTTGTAGACACAGTGACCTCCATGAAGGTCACTGAATACCAAATAGTTTCTTAGAAAATGGCCCAAACCCTTCTCATAGTTTATTCATTACTTATTACTAGAGATGTGAAACCACTGGATTGCCACAGCCACCAACATATCAATAAACAATGCCTTCCTTTATCACAAACCAACAGTGTGAGCAATGGCACACCCCCATTGAGGGTAACTTTAAAATGGCCCAGCCAACAGCAACATCTGCCATAAAATAAATGATGGCACCTGTTTCAAAGAGTCAAAAAATGTCACTTGGCAACATGAGCTCCCAAAGAAAGATGGCTTTTAAAGAGGTTTTTGATTTCAACAGTATCTTCCGATTCATGGGAAAATTCTCTTCATGCTATTTGTTTCTTACATTTTAAAAAAGCAAATAGAAAATAAAATCCTCTATTTTGTTCAGAATGGTGTCATGCTTTAAAAACAAGGTAGGCTTTGGAGCTGCACTGCTAGGACAGCGCTAAGGGTCCACACGAAAACTCAGGCTCTCACCATCAAAGCCGTCCTCTTCTGACCCCAGTTCATCGTCGGAGCAGATGTTGAGGACATTGACCAGCATCTCAGTCACTACAGGAAGAAAAGAAGGGAGAGCGCAGAGTTTGTTACAACCTTTATGTTCACCGTCCTGGCCTTGTTGAGCAGCAAGATTTGTGGCCACCTGTTCTACTGCCTTCCATGATGGGAAGAGAAGCTCCCATAACAGCCACAGACAATGGGCTCTGAGAGTCTATGGACTTCACCTTTCTAAAATGACCACCTCATCCTTAGGAAAATAATACCGATATTATTTAGCTCTTGGTCAATGGGAAGTGGACAACCTAAATGGACAGATGTGAACAGACTATAAATCCCTGAGGGAGAAATTGATTATCATTCAGTTTTTATTTATTTACACAATGATGCTGCGTGATCTAGATTAGATTACAAACTCCTGTTCAGCAGGGACCAAATGAATACCAGATTTTGGCTTTAAATTTTTTTAATTCCTAGATAACACTGCACAGTGATAGTTACATCATTTTGTGTTTTAAAAAATTGTGCAGTGATGAACTAGTAGATCTGGTCATTTTGGGATCATATACATTGATCTTAAAAACGAATGTATTCACAGAAATACCTTTAACTTTGGTTTCCAAAAGAATGCTCAAATATGTTAGGTATATTTCAGTCAGAAATTTAGCTAAGCAAGTAGATTAAAATAGGCTTAAAGTTTCACACACAGGTTGGGTTTTACCATGTCAAAGCTTTTTGGCTTATCCACTAATTCCCTGAAGTTGCTATTCAACAGTATGGTATTAGAAATATTCTCGTGATTTGAAGATGTATGATGAGAAGGAAAATTTCAGTGGGCCCAACATAAACCCAGAGTTTCAGTTTAATTATGCTCACCAATATATTATTTTATAATAGATATTCAAATTTTGAGTAACTCGTGGAAAACACCCAACTCAAATAAGTTCCAGGTGTCCAAGGGTGGCCAGGGTCATACTTGTGATTTCTAGGGGTACCAGCGGGAAGTTCTACAACGTGTGAGTCTGGGCCAGCACAGGAAGTGGCTGGGGACACGGCTGGGGACAACTAGGAACTCTTGGGCAGCTCTAGGCCACTGGCCCTATTTAATCACTCTCAGGTTTTCTGGAAAAAAGCCCAGATATTGTAGGGCTCCAGAGAATGTTAGCTTTTCCCTGAACTCCCGATGGGAGCTCCTCCTTGCCAAACCCGGGCCAAACACTGCTCTTCCCAGGGTGTGAGCAGGCGCGCTGGCGACCTGTCCTTTTGGAGGAAGCTGTGTGCTGAGGCTGAGGCCAAGGCACATGCAGAACAGGAGGAGAAGCAAGAGAGAAAGGAAGGAACCCAGGGGATTGAACCCAGGGCCTTCCCACTGAGCTACATCCCTGAGAGGCCCTCCTTTTTTGAGACAGTCTCACTAAATCTCAGTTACTCAGGCTGGACTTGAGCTTGAGATCTTCCTGCCTCAGCCTTCTCCATGCTGTCATGACAGGTGTGCACCACCACCCACTTGGCCAATCTTTTAGATGTTCTCCTACACCCACCAGATTTCAATGTGGTACTTTTTGTTGTTTTTCATATTGTTTTCAAAATATAGTAACAACTAGCATCGTGGTACAATGATTACTATTTACATCAGAAATGTAAGGAAAATGTAACTTTACCAGTAGTCTGTGAAGGAAAACACGAATTTGGGATTCCATTATAAAGTATAAGGAAGAGGTACACATTATTGCTTAAGATCAGGTAGAGCTCTACTTCCGTTATATTTTAGAGTCTGATTTTTCTCATGTGACAAAATAAATTCCCCAGACTGTCCCGCCTGTCCCCGGGCCTCTCGTGCATCCTCTCGCACTCACAGATGCCCTTTTGTGCCACTCCTGAGTGTCACTGGTCTGTGTACAGGGTCTGTGGGGCACAGCACCCCCTCCTTCCACACCGGCTGCCAAGGACACCTCAAGACTCCACAACACACCTTTTTCCCCAACAAATGGCAGGGACCAGGTGAAGACGTCCATGAAGTTCGGAAGCCAGTATGGGTGGGGGGAACAGTTGAACTGCCTGATGTTCATGACGTTGTTCTCGTACTTCAACACGGCAGCTAAGACACCAAGGGGAGAAGACAGAAAGACAGGTAGGTTACACTTAACAGTGCGCGTTTCCGGGGCTACATGTGGCTTCTGTGGATCAAGAGAATTCTATTATCTGACGCTTAAGTTTCAAAACACCAAAGCAAATAGCTTAGTCCATCCTGAAGGCTTACACTGTTTCTGGACTTAAACTTCACTCAGCGTGACATATTAGTGCATGATATATGAATAGTAAATTTGGCAAATATTTATATAAAGAGTCTTTTAGGAACAAAGGGAAGCTCCTCTTGTAGCCAGGAAGAGCTTCTACTGCTACTTAATACCTGATGACAGAAGTGAAGGTGGCGAAGCTAAATGAGACATAATTTAAGAATCCCGTCCAATATTTGGATTAAACTGCTCTTAAAAAGCAAACAAACAAACAAACCTTTTCTTCCAGCAGAACTCACAATAGCTACACAAAACAGCTGAAGTTAGATTGCTTTCTTTTTCTTTTTGGGGTGGAGGGTACCAGGGATCAAACTCAGGACCTTGTACTTGCGAGCAGGCCGTGGTAACACCACTGAGCTAAATCCCCAGCCCCTAGATTGCTTTCTTGACTTAATAAAATGCTTACATTGCATTCCACAGAGAATAGCATGCTGAGAATGTACCCTTGATTTCTGAAAAAGATGCTTCTGCGGGGCCACCCACTCTGTGGACAGAAGAAGGAACGACCACAGCTAAAGTTTAAACTGGCATCACCATTCCCTGGCCCTAGTTCTGCTTTCGAGACAGTTACAGAACAAGTACACTTCTGTTTTGAAATGACAGTCTTTTAAATATGACAAAGGATTCTTTCATACGACCCTCCCGAGCCCTGGCAAGATTTCACTTTGGCATTCTACCACGACACGAGTAGCAACTAGCATTTATTTACAAACATGTAGAGTCCAATGAGCTGCAATCCATTATGTTGGGGACTTGAAGACACAGAGAAAAGGGGTCATTACATTATATGTTGACTTTACGCTAACTTACATTGGGATGTGGTGCAGCATCGATTACAGACAACAGAACAAAGACAGATAAAAATATAATTATTAAAATGTGACTGACGGCTGGGGATTTAGCTCAGTGTTTCTGCCGCCTGCCTTGCAAGTGCAAGGTCCTGAGTTCAATTCCAGGTACCAAACAAAAAATGACTGAGTGTGCACTGGGCTGGAGCCTTTCCATCAACAAAGAGCCCTTTGGAAGGAAACCTCCAGCATCACAATGCTTTCCAACTGCACTGTCTCACCAGTTTCCCAGAGCTCTGAATGCCAGGATCTTTCCTGTGGCTCTTGGTCCAGCCTGCACGTGCCCCCCTCCCACAAGCCTTCTCTGATTTGTTCCAGAGGACTTAGCTTTGCCTCACCCCGCCCTGCGCCTTTACTATTTAACCTTGACCATGGATAGCCTGTTAAGTCTGTGCCTGCGTGTCATCAGGACGAGTCCCTTCAACTTCGATTTACCTTCTTTGAATCTCAGGTGCCAGTGCAATCAGAGTAGATGCTCAGAAGGTAGGATGAACACGGATATTTCCCAAGGTCCTTTTTCATTTTTTCCCCAAGCGAGCAGTCCCTAATGCGTTTGTCCTCTTTCACTACAGCTTTCTTCACACTTCTCTTCCCGCGGTTCATCCCCGTGTGGCAATGCCTCTCCGAGGCCACAGCCCAGTGTAAGAGAGTCCTGAAGGTGGGCCTGGTCCACGCAGAGTGCGGGCAACAGCTGCAGTGTTCCGTGACCTGCCTGCCACCTATGTCCTACTGCAGTCTGTGTGACACACACTGATGTTGTCAGCAGCTTATAGTAACTGGGCTTTGCTCTGATGCTCTCTCCAGTTGGTCCAGGGAACACAAGGTCACAGGCCTGGGGATGGGACCTGCAGACAGTGCAGTGACACAGATATGAAGGGAACCATTTTCCTCTTCCTGTGGAGAGTGGGTCCTGCACAGATTTCTGGAAACCAATCTATTTTACATTATTCTATCAATCATCCTGTATGTCACTGGGCCTGGGGCTACACTGTTATGGTATTAAAGGATGGGAAATGGAAAACAGCTACGGCAAGTCATTTTAATACTTCTGACCTTTTTGATGAGAGGTAAGATATTTCTAGTGCCTTTCAAGTGCTACCTGACCACAAGCTCCATACACAGGGTCTTTACCATTTTGAACATTATACTTACAGTAGGCGTGGATCCTCATATTTTTCAAAACAATCTTTTCAGGCACTATGTTGTCTCTTCAAAGAGTAATTTCTGATCTAATTTGCCCCTACCTTTTCTTAACATTAGGATGGCAGAATAGCAAGGGGAACAGTACAGTTGGCCTCCGTGTCCACGTCTTCCCCATCATTGGTTTGATGAAACTTTCATTGAAAATATTTGAAAGCAATAAAACCAATAAATCCGACGTTGGTACTGGAAATGTACAGCTTTCGTCATTAATCCCTGTATGGTTCAGTGTAACTATTTTCGCAGTGTTTACACTGTTTTAGGTATTTATTATGGTTTAGATTTAAAATGCCTCCCAAAATTCTCATGTGTGTGGAAGGTGATGGATCAAAGGTGTTTGCTCATCTGTGGATTCATCCTTTGATGAGTTCTTGGCCGGACATTATTAGTAGGTGAGGCTTGGCTGGAGGAGGTCACTGACCTCATCATCTGGAAGGTGCATTCTTCTGCCTGGCTCCCCCTCCTCCTGCTTCCTGCCTGTTGTGCGCTGAGCAGGATTTTTCTGCCAGGCCCTTCCATCGGGCCGTTTCTGCCTTAGCAATCATGGACCGAACCCACGGAAACCATGAGCTGAAATCAACCTCTCCTCCTTTAAGTTGTAACTATTATGTCCAAGTGACAGGAGAGGGACTAATACAATGCTAACAGTGAGCTAGATAACTTACAGTGCCAAGGAGGATACTGGATTAGGACATCCACGGAGGGTCTTGGAACTGACTTGGAACTAGGGGATACCAAGGTACAAGTGAGGTATAATTAACATTACCGTGGAGGATGGAGAGAGGCTCTACATATCACTTCATCCTCAAAACCAGTCTGGGGAGCAGGGGTGCCCGCCCTTGGGTTATAACAGAGGAGCTACGGCACAGAAAGGAGGGCTCTTGGTCAAGACCAGCAACCAGCACTGGCAGGTCTCACCATGTCCTACTCAGCTTTTATAGACACCAAATCCATTCCCTCTGCAATAGTCTCTGGTGTCTGTCATAAATTATATGAGCATGAAACCTGGACTCAGGTGGTATATGGATTAAACCTTCACAGTGGCATTCATGATTCAGGAAGCTTTAGCTTTTGCCCAAATCCCTGGAGTGCAGATTCACACACAAAGGCAGGACTTGCCCACAGATTAAGTGACAGCTCTATTCTGTCGCTGGTGAGATTAAAGGATTTACTTACTCAGCTTTGGCTCGACATTATCATTATTATTAAGGAAACACTGTTTTGTTTTTATTAGCAGTAGAGAAAATAGACTTTAACCAGAGCTGCATTTACTAAGACCTGCTATAGGCCAGGTACCATGTTTGGCCCTGTACAAACTGAATCAGCAGTCTCAAGGCATTTCTCAGAAGTGTTTTTCAGGGTTTTTGTACTTTGAAAATAAGCAAGCAGAGAGGTCATTTGCCCAAGTTCCACTTAGAAAGCAGCAAACCTCAGCTCTAGTGTGAATTCAGAACCCCTGCTCTTTCTAGTTCAATGAATATACTCACCTAACAACAAGAATCACTCAGTGTCTGTACTGCCTGGGACAAAGGGGTTTTCTCCTTCCTCACTTACTCTCTTAAGGAAAACACTCAGCGCGAAGGCCAGGAGCCCAGTCCACTAGATGAGTCCTATCACTGGTTACTCCTGAGACCAGGGTCCCTTGAGTCCGGGCTCAGTCTCCTCACATGGGTGCATGGTTTGCCTAGTTGGTTCATCTGCTCCTTTCCCATCCAAACTGTGCTAACAAATGTCCAGAAGATGTCATCACGACCACAGCGACTGGTCACTATTCACAGTATTTTTTTCTTACTTTTCTCAAATTTTAAATAATAGCTTTAATAGGGGCTGGGGATTTAGCTCAGTGGTTCCAGTGCCTGCCTCGCAAGTTCAAGGAACCAAGTTCGACCCTTGGTACCCCCCACAAAAAAGGCTTTAACTTAAAATTCCAAGTATAAAAATGTAACTTCTTTCTGTTCAACAACAGAACAGATTCATGCAGAAATATTTTTTAACTTTACTAAGTTACTCATAGACTTGGATATTTCTGTATAATAACTATGCATTACCAAAATGCATTAAAAAATAAATACAATGAGTCCAGCTATGTACAGTCACGACATCTGCAGTTAGATTTCATCTTCCACCCCTGCCTCCTGCCACCCCCGGTTCCTGGGAATGTAGAGCACAACCAGAGCTCTGATCACAAAGCTCCAAAACACATTCATCTCCAGCGGGACATAGATAACACAAATGGATGCACTTCAGGAGTCACGCGAGACCACCTCCTGAGGCCACATCTGAGAAACAGAGAGGAGAAAACAGAAGGACATCACCACCGGCTGCCTCTACTCTGCCGACAACTCCCACGACCTCACGTGACTTCACACTTGCCTCGCACGGGTGGGGAGAGACTGAGACCCATATGTGGGCTTCTTGTTATTCACCACAGTTTGGAGAAGACCAGACTGCATGGGAACAGAAGCTTTTTTCCAGCACCCAGAAGAAAACGTGTGCATCAGAGAGAAGGCCAATTCCATGAAGCCTGATGATGAGGTCTCAGTAAATTCCCTGTAATAACTGCACTTCAGATAGACTAAGATTTTATTATTAATGCATAAAGACAATAAATATCTTAGCTGACACTTCAAGATGATTTTTTAAAAATAATTTTTAATGTGCACTTCGAAGGTATGTATAATGCTGTGCAATGCATGTAGACGGTAAGATTTTCAACAATAAAACTGACTCGCTCATTTCACATAGTTACTAAT